ACAAAATAATGATCTTTAAAATAGCATCATATGACCCTTTTAAAAGAAAGTATCTCCCTTTGCATTGAACTCTGAGCGTTGTAACTTTGCAGACGTTGTTTATGCTCTAACAGCAACACAATACACTAACTAAAGTTCAAAGTGAAATCATAATCAATGAAACACAAAAGATGATATTTTTAATGAAACCTGAGATTTCTGTTCCTCCATTGAAAGTCCGAGCAACCAAAACTTTGACTCTTCAAAAAAAGTTCATAAAGGCATTTTAAAAGTAATCCAATCATCGTGTCAAGCAAGTGTGGTTGAGCTTGCGTTTACCATATTTGATGGGCCCCAAATATATGTGTTGATCAATGTTTATACGTGAATAAAATCCTGAATTAGGTCATTATATAAAGCCATTGTGTCACTTCAGAAGCTTTGATTAAAATTATCTTTATTTGTATTTTGAAGATGAATGAAAGTCATATTGGTTTGGAATGACATGAATGTGAGTAATTGATGACAATTTCCATTTTTGGGTAGAACTCTCCCTTTCATATATTTATATTGTGCTGGACAGCAACAGATATCAGTCTCACCTGTGCGCTCGCCCGCTTGCGTAGAAGCCATTTGTCCTCCTCGATGTTCTTGTTGTCTCGCTCTTTATGGTTCTCACTCTTTGGCTCGTTTGGCGTCTCAGTGGTTGTGCTTATGTGCTTCATCGCTGGCAAAAGCCAGTTCTGCAAGGGCTCCTGGGTGGAGCTCTCAGAGTCTGAGGTTTTGATGTACGAGGTCACCCAGGCAGAGAGGGACGACAGGGCAGGGGACTTGGCACTGTTGCTCGGGTGCAGCCACGTCTCTAGGATGGCTTGAACCTTCTGCTGCTGGCTGGAGGCTTTGTTTGGGGCATTCTTATTGACGGGAACACCATTCTTATCTCGATCCTCTTTCTTGAGGAGCCAAGCACTAAGGACCTCTTTTCCACAATTGTCGTCACAGACACATTGAGCGTAGCTGGTACAGGTCTCGTTGGCTTTGCAGGTGGTCTCGATAGGGATGGTCTTTTGAAGCCACATTTCGATGGTTTCTGGACTGGTGATTGGAGTGCTGGCAGCGGATGAAGGTGGAGTCTTTAGACACTTGAGCTTTCCTAGGTTCTCGATTCCCACGGCAGCACTGCGTGTGGCACAGCAAGAGCTGCAGTCGGACTTTAGTAGCCAATCGCTGGAGGAGAAGCTCTCGTAAAAGGGTTTGATGATCTGCTTGAAGCGGTCAGCATCTGACACCGGGCTGGTCTTATCTTGCTTGAACGGGCTTGGGCTGAAGAGCCACTTGCTGAGTTCTTCTTCCTCAACAGTGTCGTCCCCTTTTTCCTGCTGGTCTTCCACTTCCACCTCATCCAGAATTAAGTCGCTTTCCTCGATCATCTCAATCGAGAAGGTTGAGCTTCCGCTACAGGTTCGTTCACGAACTGGCAATTTCTCCTTCAGAAGCCACGACTCCAGGTCTTGAAGCTGGCCCCAAGCTTTTTGGAAGTCAAAGGCAGGTAACTGTCGCTCTTCCTGTAAAGTGGAAATAAAAAAATGGGCCATTTCCTAAAGACATTAATTTGACAGCAGTAGCGCTTTGGCTACAGTCAAGTGAATAATACAGTGGTTCTTAACAAGTGGGTCACATATCTGTTCTTATATCAGACTATCATCACCTTATGGTTACACGAGAAAAATTAAATTATTTAACAGTTTACCTGAGATTCCTTGGAAACAAGCAGCCAGTCCTGGGAGTTTGTGCTGAAGTGGTGTCCTGTTGGAGCACTGCTTACTGAACGGTTCCCTAGAAGCCACTCAGCCAGAGGTGTGGCCCATTCAGGAGCTACTTTCTATGTAAACAAGATAAGGTATTTTACAATAGATGCAAATGAACAAGCAGGAAGCTACACAGACCAAGTGTAACATCAAAAACAAACCTGTCTCTTGCAAGAAACTGGGCAGTCCTGGAGAAGCCACGGTCTCTCAGAAGAGTACGAGGTCTCCATCTGCAGCAGCAGAGAAGAGTTATGAATGCGGGTGCTTTGTGTAAGAGTGCACAGGTCTATTTATAGCAATGGTATGAGGACATAGTATTTTGACACACTATTTTCTCCCCAGCAACACTGTGATCCTGTCAAAAGTCAGTGGACATTTCAATCAAATGTTAATAACTGGACGATATGTTCTGTCAGAAAATGTTCACTTAAGTCTCACAACATGTCTACATCAGACACATCCATTGCCTAAACTGCTTTAGGTTGTTTGCACTGAACACGGGAGCAAGAAAGTTCAGAATTCATTTGTACTGTTGTCGGAAGTAATGCAAGCACATGGAGTACATCAGAAGTATGTAAACAGTGTCAGTATATTAAAATAATTCAATGTATAGATAAACACTTCTGTTTATTACCATGTATTGTTTTACTGGTGCATATGAATAAAAGCGATTAAACATTATGCTTTCATCTAATGAAAAAAATTTCTGAAAACATGCTTTGATTATTTTTAAATGATTATTGCTGTATTATAGTTCTTGCATTAAACTGTTTGAATCTACTTGGCTACGGTGAATGTTTGGTCAAAATTTAGACAAAAATCATTCAAATTGAAGCCATTTTAGATCAAACACATTGAGATATATTGACCCTGTTTTAGCCCTAAATGGCAGTTACCATACTATAAAAAGTAGCATTTTTACTGGAGTTCTTTTTACAGCTATCAATCTACATTAACCACAAGCCTTGGTGTCCAAGTCTGCAATTCCACAAACCTGGGTGGAAATGGTCCCAAAGGATGTGATAGCCTGGCGCAAGCTGCGTGCATCTGCTTGGAAACTCATCTCTGGGGTTTCTTCTGGAGTCAGATTGAGAGAAGAAAGCCTGGAATAACAAAAGACGAGTTTTAAACCCATTATTATCCAAGACATTTCCAACATTTACATAGACATTTTGTGGTTGAAAATTATTGTAGATTGCTTGGAGATTAACAGAGAGATTTAAACCACTACATTACCTCTGCTGACTATCTTGACATGTAAACAGTCATTTAACATGCTGAAGCAGATATACAAAACAAAATCATTCTAGAAAGGTCGATCTGGTTCTTACTTTTCCAGGCAGTTGGTGAGCTGGGTGGCAAGATTGTTACTACTGGAGTACTCCAGCTGATGAATGAGGATGTCAAACTGGCCTTTGAGCTATAAAAAACCATGAGAGAACAATAATCATTTCAGCCTTACAGTAACTTAACTAAAGCAGAACAGCTTCTCCTTTAAATCAGAGTTTCAGTTTTCAGAGTCAATATTTAGATTACATGTCTCAGAATTGTTGCTTTGTAATACAGATCTAAAAGTACCTGTACTGTACTGTTTTATTTTAGTCTTGACTTTGGGGGAAAAAAAAAACAAAAAACTATACTCTCAGCAATAACAGCTCAATTTTCCTGACTGACAGATGGCTGTGTGTACAAATGATCACTTCTTGTCCAAACTGAAAATGTAATAATGCTCAGTAAAATTCCTTAAAACTCACCAAATGCAGCTGCTGTAGCTGCTGATGTAAAGTTTCTCCTTTGAGCTGCTCCACCAGATCAATCTGCTCCAGCAGCCAGACCTCACGAGAGCGAAGGATCTCCAGATGTCTACTGATACAGCTGTGCAGCTGAGACTTCACCTGTGAGTAAGCAGACAGAGGCACATACGTGTGAATGCTAGCAGGTGCGAGTCCCGTCACGTCTGCATTTGATTTGAAAGTACTCGGATGCCAAGCAGTTTTTACAACTCCTGCTGTGGTGAATTAAGAAGTCACCACCTCCTAGACGCTGAAGGACAGCCTGCAACGGTCTACAATAATAGAAACAGGGTCCTTATTCAGTTTTGAGAGATTGTGGGGAAACCCACTGAGGTTTTCAACAGAGCTTAAGTGAATGAGTGTAAATACTATATACTTGTCTACTAACTATTTTTTAAACAATTTCTCAATTGTTAATACTTCTTAACTTGTTTAGCTGTGGTCTAGTAAGCCCTACTCCTTTTAGACTACTGTACCTGCATCTAAATAGTAATTATTACCTGTGCTTGTGAGGTGTGACAAATTATGTCATATGCATGAATGTTTTCATGCTTATAACACAAACAAGACAATAACATCTCATTGTGCACTAAATGAACAAAGCACATTATGAAGCCACAATGTTTAAAGAAGTCAGTGTTCACGGTTCACACCTACTAGAAAAGATAAATAATGTTTATAACTGAGACACTAAACTGTTAATAGCACAAGCATGATTTAAGTATATAAATAAAAGATTAAAAATAGACCAGTACTTCATATCTTTACTTAATGGCACTGAAAACGCACAGCACAAAAACGTTGCCATATCTCACCTCTCTGGAGTTGCTCCTAAGCTGAACTTCAGCTTTGATGACCCCAGCGAGGGCCTCCTCCAGCTGGGCCCGGGCCTGAATGCACTGCCTGAGGGCAGCCTTTTCTCTCTGCCCCATGAGTGACATGCTGCGGGACAAACAAAACACACCAGCTAAAATCAATCACTTCGTTCTCTATTCTCAAATGACTGGTTAAAAGCATTGTACACTCAGACATGATCATCATTTGAAATGTTGCTAACCAAACAGTTTTGGGTTTCCATTGATGTTCTAAATACTACTACTTATAATATAATTTAAAAAATCTATCATGCTCCACAGAAGAAAAAAAATCATAATGGTTTAGAACGAGGGTAAGTAAATGTCCATTTTAAATATGGCATAACTGCATTTCAGTTTTTAGTCTTCAATTTGTTTACATTTTAAAACCGTTTATGGTGGCAAAAATTGTAACAATTATTAGCAACAACAACAACAACAAAAAACACACTTTAAAAAAAGCTTGATTTATTTGGAAACTGTGATAATTGGTCTGATAGTTTTTAACCTGCTGGCCAATTATCATCCAGTTATGTGAATTTTAGTAAAAACTGTGTAAACATTTCTTTCACTTAATTGCCATTATTTTGTGCAAGTTTAATTTGCTATAATTAAATCGCATTGTACAGCGTACCAATCAAAACTGATTCTCATAATCTTAAAAACCTTTTGGTCCAAAGGATTATGCTTATGATTAGTATTATGATTATGCCCTTGAGCAAGACACCGAACCCCCAACTGAAATATATGCAAATATTTTTGCAGCTAAATATAAATATTGTATTAATTTCTTCAAATAAATATTGATTAAATTTTCTTTTTTTTTTTTATTTACAAGTAGGGCGGCACGATAAATCGCATGCGATATTTAACGCGCGTCTTATCAGTAAAGCCGGTTCTGTAATCAGCGGTAAATCTCCATCACCTTTACAAGTTAGACAGGGAAATACAAACGTTATGCGTCCAGCATTTATGTGAACTCCTTTAATACTGTACAGAGCACCTCATACTATAAAACATGACATGCATCAAATACTGTTTTTCCATAGTTCTAGTGATTCACAGCAGTTATTATAATTTGGTGTGGAAAACATTCAGTACAAACTTTTTACTGGTAGTATAAAACCCATATCAGACAACTTCAGCTGTGGCCTTTTTCCGATGAACTCAAAGCCTCTCTGACATCCTGCGAATGTGTCAGTACTGATATGTGTCTGCCAAACTTAAGAGCTACACGTCAGGTTTCATATAATACAGCTGACAGTGTCTCAAGGGCAAAATTCGTAAGATTCCTGGGAAAGTTGTGCAACACAAAGAATAAACTTGTCCCGTGGGGGGGGGGGAACAACAACATCTGAAAAAACAAAGTGTATACACCCATTAGAACAGGAAGAGCCGTCTTCCTGCTGTGTCTGATCTAAGATGCTATTGAGCTGCATCTAAGATCAGACAGCTATTGTTTAAAAGACTAATGACTGAAGGTGCAACAATACAAACAATTTATGTAATGAAAGCCAATAACAGAATACAGAAAAACAAACATCTTTGAGAAGCATAAAAACAGCAACATCTGCATGCAGCATGCGGTGGACAGAATAAAAGCCCAGTCTCGTCTGCACAGATCCAGATTCTTCCATCCTGACTGCATGCATGGATTATAAAGCAGAGGAACTTATACTTATCTGAATACCTTATCTGGACATTTGAATTAAAACAGCTTATTCTAACAAATACACTTTTACAATTCTCTGAGATTTAATAAAACACAATAACATGCACAATAACTGGCACTACCAAGGTACAGTGGTTACATTGGATGGCAATATCATAGTACTGTAATTAACATATTCAAGTACCATGGTATTTAAGAAAATACCATGGTACTGCCATAACGCACGTCAAACACCAACAACAATACCATGACACTTTTTGGTTAGTGTACGTAATAGCCACGCTTATGGATATTTATTAAGAATTCACTGTTTGGCATTATTAACACAAAAACACAGATGCTCATCAAAAGCGGCGTTCACGGAAAGTCACTGCGTTTACATCTAATCTAGATTTATTTAAAACCTCATGTCAAAATAGCGATTCGGTTCCTACCTCGTCCTATCAATCAAGCGATTTACAACGCTCGTCGATGTAGTCCAAGTGTGCCGATTAGTTTGATGAAAGTCTACGGTTTATCCGAGACTCCCTTTCCTCGGACTGCTCTCTCGGCCGACCGATTCTGCACGTACACGGGGTCCCACTCTCAGTGGCGCGCGACTGACGACACGACCAGAACGCAATGCACTCGTTGACTTCCAGAAGCGACCATAAAACACACACACACGCACACAGCACAAACTGAAATTCACTGCGCCCCCTGCGTGAAGATGGCAACTTCTGTCTTACAAGGAATCAGAATGAGGAACTGAAACTTCAGTTAAATGCTGACTGGCCTTTAAAGACAAAATAACAGCAACTGCAAAAACGCTGATGTAAGACCTAAACTTTGAACTGTGTGAAACTATCAAAACTGACAATAATAGCCACAATTAAACACCACATCTTATGCGGATTTGTTATTTCACTAGAGACGATGTAATGGTGAAAATGACAATATCCAGTGCTCTGTAAACAAATACAGCATGAGTGTCAGTCCACATTAAGATGCAAATGCAGCAAAAACAACATCTGTATGCATTGCCAACAAATTAAAAATCCACTTGAGAATGAAGCAATGTTCGGATGTAGGTGAAAGTCTTCAAACTAAATCCTTACGCTTATATAACTTAATGACATGTCATTTTGATGATTATCCTTATCTATATCTACACTGCACTAACTTTCACTTAACCAGGCGCTACTTGCAATGTCGGAAATCTAATACTTGACTGAGAATATTACGCAACATTAGAACACATAAGTGTACACTTTATCAAGATATATGAAAAAGTAAAAAAGCTTTAAAAAAAACAATATCTGAAGTGGACATTGAAAATATATTCTACAGGTCGCCCGTCTGTAGCCCCCTTTTTATGTCTACACTGCACTAACTCTCACTTAACCAGGCACTACTTGCAATGTCGGAAATCTAATACTTGACTGAGAATATTACGCAACATTAGAACACATACGTGTACACTTTATCAAGATATATGAAAAAGTAAAAAAGCTTTAAAAAAAACTCAATATCTGAAGTGGACATTGAAAATATATTCTACAGGTCGCCCGTCTGTAGCCCCCTTTTTATGCGTCACATTGCCGAGGACACAGTAAACTGATATCAATTCATAAAAATATATATTTTTAAACTTGTAATTAAATCGATTCTCAGATTAAGTATACATTTATCGAGATTTTAAACATATCACCGTAACAATACAGAAGAAAGCCGGACTGGTTACAAATATAGCTCGCTCGCATGCACTCACCTCCACTAACCCAGATTAACATTCCGACGCCGCATTAGCTAAAAGTCAAATCATTTCTCAAAACAAACATGTCATTGTGGAGTCTCGATGTGTACATACCTGGACTACCTGTTGAGCTTGGAAGCGAAGGTGATGTTAATATAATAAAGGCTTCAGCGAGAACGCAGTGCCGCGTCCCCTCATGCGCTACGCCGCTCGTGTCGTGAGGTTAATGTCAAAGGCGCTTTGGAGAATCACGTGAGACCGTAATCTCGCGATACTTCTTCTTCTTCTTTTTTAAGGGCGGTTGGCATCCATCTTATTGGCGCATTACCGCCCCATTTATTGCGTTCTCAATTTTTGTTCTCAAATGTAATGCTACCATCTAGTGGCATGTGGAAACAATTTATAAATAAATGAATTAAAATACATAAAAATCTAAATACAAATTTTAATTAATATACGTGCCTTGAGCAAGAAGAGTTTTTAACGATGCATGTGTGGATGGAGGTTTTAAATGCTGAACACGAACATTTCGTTAATCAAATCTGTTTGTTCGAAATAATTATGCAATCTTCTACCCAGTCCATTTTATTTATTATAAATTATATTATATATTACAAATATATTTTTTTAATTATTTATTTAATTCAGAAAGGTAAGCAAATAAGAAATATGTTATTTCACAATTTCAAATAAAATGAGAACAAATATATATATCACAAAACACCACACACGAGAACACGTCACATGACTTTTATTTTGACATGACATAGTATACTTACCCGATGTTGACACTTTAAAACGACAATGTTTTGTAGGTAATTGATATCTATTGATAACTATACGCGTTACCATGAAAATATTAGAAGAATGTTCCAAGACTGATCAAATGCGTAAGTTTTGTTCTGCGCTTTTATTGGCGGAAGTAGCGTCAGACGTGTCGTCGTCATCACGTCAATATTTGAGCCCAGCTCCGTACAGCTGGCAAAACAATTCACACAAAACATTTGATTGCTAAACTACAATGAGCACCAGAATCAAACGATAGACAGTAACGTCTTGACATTCTAGCCGCTAACCTTTATTGTTATATTCTTGAACCTGTTTGTGCGAAACAATGTCGGCATCACAAGGAAGCACAAACACGAATACGGAGCCATGGGGTAGTTTTGATGACAACAACATTATCCAGGTAACGTTAATTCACCTCAGCTCATCGTTATTACAGTGACATAACTTCTGAAATACACGCATGTTTTCTCTCTCTTAACCAAGCTTCGTGCGCTTGGCTTAGTCTGACCTCGAACGCTTGAAATTGTTGTGGTGGTACTATGTATATTTCACTGTATCTTGATATATATATATACTATGGTGTGTGTGTGTGTATATTCATTCACAATTTGCATATTCCTCTATTTTGCATGAAATAATATAATAAGCTAACGACTCAACAATGTGATATAGCTGTTGTGGTAAACAATTTTGTACATATAGGCAAGTATAAGTGGAGGAGGCAAATGATTGAACAAAACAAAAAGCTCAGAAACATGCTGTTAGACTGGCGTATGTACAGATAACCCCACGGTATTAGCATTATACAATGTTTAAAAGAACATTATTGCAGTTTAACATCCACAATATATCATGGGCTTTAGTAAATTGTGCGCAAAATAAACATGTCCTGCATGCTACATAATCACATTCTCTACCGTATTACAACTGTGTAGTTGGCTTCATGAGTTTTTCACAAAATTAATTACAGTGAGACTTTGTAACACAGCGTTGGTTCTTTAATGTGACTGACCCCAGGGCAGTGGCTCGGCAGTGATAGACATGGAGAATATGGATGACACCTCTGGTTCCAGCTTTGAGGATATGGGGGAGATGCATCAGCGAATGAAGGAGGAGGAGGAGGTGACCGCCGAGGCAGCAGCTACAGAGGAGGACAACGGAGAATATGGAGACTTCCTCGGGATGAAGGGCTTGAAGGGACAGTTGGGCAGACAGGTTGCCGATGAGGTGAGCTAGAGGGAGGGCTAGGAACTCGTTTCATTCACTTGAAGATTCACATGAGCATGAAATGAGGTATCAACCACATTTCAATACAGCAGATATGAAATCGATATTACACAATTTTCACTTTGGAAAGTGTCTAACTTTCCTTTAAATAGTTCTGTTTGGCTTTGTGTTGATGAGAGTACTAATATATCTTGTATCCACACAGGTATGGCAGGCAGGAAAGCAACAGGCGTCAAAAGCATTTAATCTCTACGCCAATATTGACATCCTCCGGCCGTACTTTGATGTGGAGCCTAATCAAGTCAGAAACCGGTAAGATGCATGTCAGGCTTTCTAACAGCGGTTTTGCGATGTCTTTTGCTGCAGCATCACTGATTCTGGTTCAGTTAACCAACTGCTTGATCCACAGGTTGATCGAATCCTTGATCCCAGTCCGAATGATCAACTTTCCTCAGGTAAGACACTTGATCATTTTAGCTGTAAGCAATACACAACAGAAAGCAAGTTTAATTGTATTGGAAGAGCAGGGGTGTGGCATCCTTGAGCGAGAGAGATTAATGTTATTATCCCTGTAAAGCCCACTATATCATATTTGAAACACAAATTTCTAAGGCCTCTAAATGATCAACATAATTAAAACTTGGTGTACATAATCGACTACATTTCTTCTGTTAACTGACTGTGCATTTATACTTTTAGTAAGTAAAAGGTCTTTTAGTATAGTTGTAAAAATGTTATGGTACACAGGTCTTTTTGCTGTTAGATTTTTACAGATTTTTAAAGGAAAAATTTTATTACAAGATGAACACTTACTAGACTGAAGCAACTTGGGTTTACTTGATTATCTATACATTCTTTTTTTTAGAAAAATCGTGTTAAAATGTGAGCATCAAATATGATCATCAGGCTTTTGAGGAATGTTTATTTGTTCATTTATCAGTCGTCATTGTATTGCGTTGCATTATATGTTTTGCCCCCCCCACAATTAAAACTAAAGAGCTTTGATCATAAAACTAAGCATTTAAATAGTTTTATCATCTTACTAATTATTAGGGGTTTTAGTGTGTAAACAAATATATTCTATTATTTTCTATTGCAAGCTTTACAGGGTTATTTAAATTTATTCTCTTTACTTGTATTTTGCATATCTGCATGTCTTTTCCTCATTGTCACAGCACATTTTATGTAGTTTTGAGCTTTTTGAAAAGCTAAACTGGCCAGTGCAGACTTGTAACAGCAGTTATGAGTACTTTTTCTTCGTTAGTTCTTTTTTTTTTTTTTATCTTTTAAACCTAGAAAGTTGCTGGAGAGCTGTATGGACCAATGATGCTGGTGTTCACAATGGTGGCTATTCTGCTCCATGGCATGAAGACGTCAGGAACCGTCATTGTAAGCAACTTTCCACACGTTTGTCTGTGTCAAAATTTCACATTGTGATTTTTTTTATTATATGATCAAATATGGGTGGGTGATATGGCAAAATATCATATCACAATTTTATTTTATTTTTTTCAGGAAAATCACGATTCTTGGTCGTTTTGGTTTTACTCTTTTGCAAGTTGTCTGAGCTGTACAGCCAAACTAGTTTCCCTGTTTTAAAATAAAATAAGAGCAAAGACATATTACAAATATACATAATATACAAATAAAACAAGCAGTGCTTTATTTCTCAAGTACTGTACGTGTATTTAGCAGTAGCTTTCAAGAAATTGAATGAACAAATATAAAAATAAAACACTATATACACTTCACTGTATAAATTATACATTAATTCTTATTAAAGCAACTGTATTAAAGTTCTTCAGTCAAGAGCAGTGAGTGATTTTTCTCTTTGTGTTTTGTTGTTTTATTAACATTAAAGGGATAGTTCAGCCAAAAAT